ATGAACAAATGTGTACCTTTAAAAAAGCAATTACAATATTAGATTTAAAATCTAACACAATATATCACTTATGTGTCTATTTTCTCTATGTTATGTTAACGAAAAATGTTACATAACACTTCTTCCATAATAAGTGCTAAATATTTTATTTACGGAAAAATTCATACAAAAATGTTTATTCTTGAGATGAAACATTGAGGCCGGCTGAGTAGTATACACAGTTTGTTGCATAAATATTATAATTCAATATATTATTGGATAAACAGTAGATAGAAATAAAAAGTTTTCAAAACACTGTATTGCAGATAATCCATACTAATATTGTAAGTGCGAAAGTGTGTCTGTCTGTCTGTGGGTTTGTTTGTCTGACCTGTTGCCTCTTCACGTTTTAACCACTGAACCGATTTATATTAAATTTGATATAGAGATAGCTTGAGTCCCGGGAAAGGATAGGATAGTTTTTGACGTGACAACGTCTTATAATTCGATGGAGCCGGCTGCACGCACGAAAAAACATTTCTCATGCGGCGTTACCTCGCTCTGAGGCGTTCCATTTAAGACTTGAAGTGCAAGCGAGAGCGCGGAACGAGCGACAAAGAGGCACAATCGGCCTCCGCGTTCGGCAGTTTGTATCAATCAATAATCACAGAACTGATTTAAAGGAAATTTGGCATAGAGATAGTTTGATTCTTATGAAAGGACATAGTCTACTATTTATTTAGCGCGATAACCGGAGCCGCAGGCAAAAGCTAGTACAATAATAAAATATCGGATGAGGATCAAAACTGACAGTTTCCGTAGTTAATCATAAAGTTGGTAACCCTTTACGTCACAATGGTACGCCTTGATTACAATGCACATTGTAAACCGCGGACGTGTAAATAAAATACGCTTCACAAATGAATAAAACCTCTTGTCTATAAAAACAATAAATCAGACAAGATCATTCGAAATTCAAAAATCGAACCGGCTGACCGTGAATCACGATAGGGCTGGGAAGTTGTGCGCATGCTCTGAATATGTCATTAGTTGTTAATAATGGCGGGCGCCATATTGGCGTGCATTGTCCTACAGCCTACAGCTGACGAATATCCGGCCCGTTTTGTCTTACATTTAAGGTGTTGTTATCTTATTTGGATGTTTGACGACTTAATTTGTGAAATAAGGGGTAATGCTTGCCATCTTGGGTACAATAGTGCTGTTTTGTGGGCTATCTTTAGTATTTAGTTGACACAAATGAGTCTCTATTTTTGGTCTTTTAGATATATCTTGCTTTTTCATCTTAACGGATTTTGGAGCCACATACTTAGGTAACTAACTGTTATACACAAGAACTTTTAAGGTCGTGGTTGACTGACGCCTGCGAATGGTTTTCAGTGGTGAAAATCCATGTAAGACCAGCGCCTTGAAACATTTTTTTTCTAAGTACATAATTAACCTTTTTTTAAATATTATTTAATCACGCGTAAAATTATTTTTTTACGGGATTTAGAACATTATTAAAGTACCTACCTATATACCTAATAATACGAGTATAAATCTTTAAAAACTAAATATATCTAAAGATACTCGTATATTAATATGTTAAGAAAATTCTTTGTACTTAGGCCTTTTTAAACAAATATGGCGGACGAAAGTATATCAGATTTATTTAATTTTTAAATGGAGAAGACGCTTAGAATGTTTAAACTATAATGGGCTATAAAGAAAAAAGTAACAAAGGTTGATTAAACCAAAATAATTCAGCATGTATCATCATCATCATCATCACATCAACAGCCTTTAATAGTCCACTGCTGGACATAGACCTCTCCTTGGAAAGGAGGTTTTGGCCTACTATGTATCAAATTGTACAAAAGTCTATACTGGTCAATAAAATGAAACAAAACATTCAAAACAGTCGAAAATGGACCACCAGGTGATCTCCAGTTAATATATGACATATATTAACTGGAGATCACCTTCCCATAAATATACATATAGTATATGTATATTTATGGGAAGTAAAAAAATGTCATAAGATTACGCCATAATCACGGTACAAATATAATTATTATAATTGTACCGTGCCATAATGTTCGTGGTCAGCGTTTGACGTCAGTTGACAGTTGGAGTTACGTCATTAGAGTGGAGATGTAATTAGTAATCTATTCTGACGTTTTAAATGTCAACTGTGACGTTTAAATGCGTTCTACTTTACGTCGAATAAAATAAAATACACAAAATTAAAAAAAAAAAACATTTTTAATAAAACAGTAAATCAAATCTAGTACCTATGTAAATAACAGTATTGTTTAATAAAAGTAAGTAAGCTGAGCCTAAGCTACTGTCACATTTATTACGTATTTTATAATACCTACCTAACTTTGATTCCCTCTTTTTTTTTTTTTTTTTTTTTTAACGTGTGGAAATCCCCTCGGACCGTCACCCCTCCGGGGTTTGCGGCGGGGTGGTGTGTCGGACTCGGACCGACTAAAACCACACGGTGTGCCACTCTGCGCCTGTAACAGGAGGGATCCGGGAACAGCTGTTGTTAAGACATCCGGACCCCTCCTAGCGCCAGCCCGCTCCTGGTGCGGGCTCCGTCTCGATGTTTTTCCTCTCTTTTTAGGCGACGTCCGGCACACGCGGACGCCGCCCCCTCGCGGCTGGCCAAACTAATGCGGGTGGAGGGGAAACCCACCCCGTCCACCCGCGGCCACACTCAGGGCGGCATGAGGCTGTGATAGGCGGGCCTCCGCCGCCCGGTTCGCCGGCGGCGGATCGGGTCCGAGTGGAGGTCGTCCTCCCGGGCCCTCTCCGCCGCCTCCTTCCGCGAGATTACTACCTCGCAGAAGGTTGCGACCGCGGTAAAACAACTGTCGCTACCGGCCATGGAGCGTACTACGGCCGGTAGCGAGAGATCCACTCCGATGACTGCAGTGAGGGCCCGGCGCTGCGCCGCCCATGCGGGGCAGACCGCCAGCGTGTGCTGGGCCGAGTCCTCATTGCAGTCGCAGTGGTGGCAGGCGGGACTCAGTTCCCTCCTAGCGACCGTGTGCAGGTACTTTCCGAAGCAACCGTGCCCGGAGAGCACCTGCGTTAGCCGGAAGGAAAGGGTCCCGTGCTGCCGCCCTGCCCACTCGGCGATGACCGGCTGGAGAGCCTCCACGGCGGCGAAGCCAGCGCGTGGAGTCTCCAGCCGGAACGACCAACGAGCCATCGTGGCTCGGCGAGCGGCTTCGCGCCACTCGCGCACATCCTCGGGCGGAGGGCGAAATCCGCTCTCCGCCCGGGAGTCAGCCACTCGCCGATAAATTCCCTCTTAGGCCAACCTTACCTTATAGGCATTGAAACAGATTGGTTACTTGATAACCTTAGTGACCTCTGTAATCACGGGACGGAGTTATGGGTCCAACTTCTTGCAGCCAGGCCGCCGCGCCTTCCATAAAAGAAACCAGAAACCTTTTGCAATATTTCGCATTGCACTTGACCCAAAACCCCAATAAAATGAGGAGAGGGATAAAAAATGACAATTATACATCTGTTTACTCCTTTTCCAATTCAAAAGTTTTTGAGACACAATTTCTACAATGTTTTTGTTTCATGTTTGATAGGGAATATGCACGTGACACCAAAATGGACAAAATATTTTTATTTGTAATTTTTATTGCTAAAAAAAGATACCCATACAATTATTTTCGAAATTTATTATAATTTAATAGTGAAATTTAATCATCAAAAATTGGCTTTTTTAAGATTCCCTCGCAAATTTCTAAAACGCAACGCTATTGGTTGAATAAAACGTGACGTCAACCTACACTGTCAAGAGTGTCAACAAGTTGTGTGTATTTGTAATATTTGGTATCTGGTGATTATTTGTTTCATTTTAAGTTAATAACTAATACGTTTTCAGTGTTAAATTATTAAATTCCCGTGTAAAAAGACTCAACACAATGACTGAATATACTTTGTCAGGTGCAGTTTTGAAATTATTTGGGCACAAAGAAACGGCACAATATTTATAATAAGTTTTTATTGGCTGTTCCATGGTAATAAGTTAATTTTTATCACTCACTTTTTTACTTTACACTCAAACTTTGTGAACTTTACTCCGTTGTTGACATCGAATTCGTCTGAAAGTGTAATCTGACGTCACAAAAAAAGCGCGCCAAAATGGACGTGTTCAAATTGCCCCAAAATTATGGTGATTTTAATAAAAAAATTTTTGCTTAACGGTTTATATTTCGGATGTGTTATATTTATTTTTGGTAATGTAATAACTAGTAGAATCGTTTAAAAAAATAAAAAAAATACATGCATATTCCCTATTCTCTATCCTACTCTAATGACTTTTGGCGCTTTCTTTAAAATTGACCCCGATGCTACTGTAGCGCCCCCAATTTCACGCATTTTGACGTACATATACATACGAATGATTCTCCTAACCTCTACACTTCATACCGTAAAGGATATGCTACAGTTCGGCCAATCCTTGTCCTCCAAATTGTGAGCAGAAAGCATTATCAAAATGTAAAGTACAATGATTGGTTCATTACCAAACTTCCCCGATTAAATATATACAAGCGTCATTTAAATACGTCGTTAGAACTACTTGAGTTGTTAATGTTTTACGTAATATATTGTTCGCGCTAATAAATTTATACCTACCTACTTTATAGTGACGTTGTAGACATAAGGAATTGTGGTTAGTTCTTGGTTATTTACATTGAGTGTTGGTTCACTACGGATTCATTGGGATTTTTAAATTTGTAAGTCACATTTTTTTTTTTTTTTGTCTTTATATTTTGTAAAAGACCAACAGTTACAATGCTTGCCCGAGAACTGCCGTCAAAACATCTATAAAAGTGTTTTACCAGGTGATCATCGATCGCGTGATGATTATAAACAAACTCTGTCCTAATTTGCCCTCCTAGTGATTTAAAAGAAAGCTGTTCTAACAACAGGTGGTACCATAGTAGTGTCGTTATATGTAACAACATACGATATTCACGTTGAAAATGTATAGAAAATACAGCTGTATGTTTAGTACCTATAGTTAAAATATAGTATAGATTACATTTCAAATCATCAACAGCTTATGATAGTCCACTGCTGGACGTAAGCCTCTTCTTAGAAAGGAGGTTTTGGCCTTGGTATAGGATTTGTTTCAAGTTTTCCTTCTCTTTGCAGTGCTGTTGTCTTGCGTAGTTTTCTTCCTTAGTCGACTTTTACGACAACCACGGGATGAATACGGGTGGTGACATTACGTATTCTTAATCCGTCACCACACGGACAACATTTCAAATAGGACATTCGAAATAGGAATTATAAGACAATATATATATAAAATAATACATATATGTGATATTATAGGACTGACAAATATACACAGGCAGATCTAAATACTAACCGACACGAGTATTTAATAATTACGCATTACTTTAATGATCTTATGACCTTGAATATCGGATTCTTGAATTAATCAACCTCAATTTAGCATAACCTAGAAATTGCAGTTAGAAACACATTTCATGGGAAATGGAAAATTTGATTTTTATTAACTTCCGCGTATTTTTATCAAGTTTAACCTCTACATTCCTCAGAATTTAACAAATTAAAACAAAACCATAGGAATTAGTCCAGATGGTTTCGAGTTTCGCTTTTATTAACATATTCACTTTCTTCGCCTTTAATTTTTATTTATGACGTGATTTTGTTTTATTTTTATGCGCAAAAGTAATTTAATAACCCAAAGATGTATGGCATGCATCAAGTGAAATTGTTTTCCAATAAAACTACTATCTAAAGTGGAAAAAACAATTCTCGATCGTAACTTTTATCCTTGAGATATGTATTTATTCTGGATCCGATGTGTGTCTGCATGTGTATCGATGTGTTTACGCACGTTTAGTTATAATTTTACCTGCTATTGAGTCAGACGTGCTGCGTGTAACACAAACAACATCGTGGAAAACTGTGAGTAGGATTTTATCTTTTATGCAGTTAATAATTTGGTATTTCTTACGATTTTACACGTCAATTTCTTAACTTATTCTATAACTATCTATATTGTTTATTAATGAGTAAAATGTTGTATAAAATATAACGGTTTATTGACGTTGGCGCGATAATGAAATACGCATCACGCCAACACTATATGTATACCATACAATGAGTCAGTGACAGTTCTGACATATGACAATTTGTGGTCTGTTCTTTTTTTAAGCGACACGTGAAAACCAAAAGCAAACAAAGGCGTACTGAACATGCAGCCTAAACATAAACAAACCTCCACAGACAAAATAGGCTAAACTTTTTTTTAAAGCGGGTAATTTTAACGGTACCTACGCACCACTATAATGCTTTGTCGGGTCACGTAATGTATTAAAAATGTTGGTTCACTCAATTTTCTCACTCGAGTCGGAAATTAGAGTGGCAGCTAATGCGGGTTTAATAGACGTGTGTCTATGTAGGACAGTTATAACGACGTCACAAAGTCCTCGGGTTTTGTCCTGACAATTGAAATGAATTAAGTGTAGCTTCAGACGAACATTGCGATGCTGACTGTTTTTTTTTTAATAGTGTGATTCTGTTACTTCACCATTAAGGACCAGAATCATTGTTGATATTTTAGTAACAAATACAAAATAGTAATTACTTTTATGGAGTCGCAGGTACAACTAATTTGTATAGACTAACTAATAATACTAATTAGACTAACTAATTTGGACTAGGTAAGGCAGAGGCATATGAAACAGCCAATTTAACCTATTGCTGAAAAGCCCGAGCCTTCGAGGCCTTTTTAGCAATGTTTTAAAAACCAAAGACAATCGCAATGACCTCATAAAAAGATGGCCGAATTTCTCAACACGAACAATACCTTTTTAAAATACATAATATATGTAATATCAGAGATGCACCCTCCTTTGTTTTAAAACAATACACATTTCTCTCACATACGTTTGTATGGTTATTTATACAACAAGACACGATTTTGTTTTAATGTTCGAGGCTTCAATATACACATACATTCATAGTATGGCAACGGTTACAAGAATCAATAACAATACTAAATACTAGACTACTACTAGGAATACCAGACTAAATAGATAAATATGACCGTACAACAGGGGTTTTGTCACACAATAACCTGTGTTTTAATGTATCCTGACACCACTAAAAAAAAAACAATAAGCTTGAGAAATTCTGAACCCACGATCTTTGGTTTAGCAGTCAGCCTTAGGCATGGGACAAAGTCACAGTGAACTGTGATTTATCATTCGATTTTTGCGTACGTTGGTTACGGTTGCTAGGTAGGTAGGTTAGAGGCTATTTGACAGTAAATCTAGTATCTTTTTTATTATTATGCAGGGAATGGTAGCTATATATAATAAATAATTACTAGATTTACTGTTAAATATACATGAAAACAGCTTATTGGCAACTACGCGTGAGAAAGTAGTAACCCTAACCTACGTACGAAATAATCTAATGATAAATCACCAGTCTTTCACAGCTTACTGTGATTATCTCCCCTGCCTAGTCAGCATGACTAACCGACAGACCCGTTAAAAACAAAATTTTACTGTAATTTTCGGCATGAATTTTGTTCAACAAAACATTCCCGTTGTCTTCTTACGCGATGTTTATCAGCCATTCTTTTAACAAAGCCCAGTCTGTCTTTTTTATTTATTTTCTTGTCATTACCGTGTTTGCCGCTCCGAACACGAACCCTTTCTCCTTATTTATTCGACCTTTTTTATCAGAGTAACACTGGCCAATGTCAGGGTTATTTCGATTCATTATGTGACAATAAGATCTTTTTACTCTGTGGTAAATGTCGAGGTTATTTGAATAAAGAACTGTCACCTATTTAAAAAAGTATAAATCAGGTTTTTAAATGTTAATTAAGGCGGCTGTATATATACATACGGGTTCTGCTTAATATCGTGTGCCTAATATCAAAGGGCTATTAATAAATCATTAATAGCACAGTTAATAGCCGTAATTTAGTCGCCATTTACGTATACGAGTATAATAGCATTATTATATTACTATTATATTACAATATATATTTTCTGACACTGTGGCGCTAACGACGTGACGTTAGACGGACATAATCTATGGTCAATGATACACCATTTTCTACCAAGCTCCGCCCCTTGACTAATCAAGTTGTAATCAATTATCGTTTCGTACGAAGGCTTGGAACCTGATTGGCCAAGGTGCGGCCTTGATCGATGCCCTTTCTTAACGCGAATTGACTATAGTTTCTTTTCAACCGTGCAAAAGGGATAATTTCTATATTAACCTGATGTTTCTTGTCCAGAAACTCAGTCATTCAAACATATTCTATTACCGAATTACTCTATTACCTCTTCAACATTCATATAATAACCTCACACATCTCACACACGGCTGTCTGATCCCAAACTAGGCAGAGCCTGTACTATGGTAACCAGACTGCTTATAAACATACTTATATATCTCTAAATACATACATATTATGGATAAACTACACCCAGACACAGAACAAACGATCGTGCTCATCACACAAATATTTGGTCTGGGTGGGAATGGAACCCACGACCTCCGGTTTCGCAGTCAGGGTCACTAACCACTACACCAACAGGCCCGTCATATGAAAACCTTTAGAAGACCATAACGCTTAGGGACGCACAAGGAGACGTCCTCAAGTCCTTGTCACCTTGAAATTCAACCATAACGCTTATGTTGTATGACTAAGGGAGGATTAGGTACACAGTGAGTGTGTTAGTAAGTATTAAACCAGAAATAAACAAAAATACTATCTGATGGTTACTCATCGTAAACCAGACACAGACCCTGATTCATACCGTAATCAAGATAATAATTATCTGCTTAGATTTCCGCAAATAAATCTGTACTAAAGTTTTTCATTACAAATTACTCATTGTTGGTCATTTAATGCTAAGAAAAAAAGCAAAATCATTTTTTTTGTCTACTATACCGATGACGTGTCTGTCAAGATTTTCAGTCCTAGGAAATTTTAAATTGAAAATCCCGAGACAAACAATGGACTGCAGATAAAACTAAGACCAATTGTCTGGTTTACTGTCAATTTAGCCATCTTAAGGTTTAGTTGCCTGTCTGAGATCTATCTGTAGTCACAGGGCTGCGTGAAGATGTAAGAGACAGACACCTACACTTTCCCATTTATAATATTAGTAAGGATTAGGCACTGTACGGTGCACCGGTGTGGGCGGCGGCTCTGACCGCCCAGAATAGGGTACGCCTCTGGCGCCCTCAGAGGGTAATGGCGGTCAGAGCCATACGCGGTTACCGCACCGTTTCGACGGAGGTGGCATGCGCATTGGCCGGAACTCCCCCGTGGGATTTGGAGGCGGAAGTGCTCGCCGAAGTTTATCGGCGAGTGGCTGACTTCCGGGCGGAGAGCGGATTTCGCCCTCCGCCCGAGGATGTGCGCGAGTAGCGCGAAGCCGCTCGCCGAGCCACGATGGCTCGTTGGTCGTTCCGGCTGGAGACTCCACGCGCTGGCTTCGCCGCCGTGGAGGCTCTCCAGCCGGTCATCGCCGAGTGGGCAGGGCGGCAGCACGGGACCCTTTCCTTCCGGCTGACGCAGGTGCTTTCCGGGCATGGTTGCTTCGGAAAGTACCTGCACACGGTCGCTAGGAGGGAACTGAGTCCCGCCTGCCACCACTGCGACTGCAGTGAGGACTCGGCCCAGCACACGCTGGCGGTCTGCCCCGCATGGGCGGCGCAGCGCCGGGCCCTCACTGCAGTCATCGGAGTGGATCTCTCGCTACCGGCCGTAGTACGCTCCATGGCCGGTAGCGACAGTTGTTTTACCGCGGTCGCAACCTTCTGCGAGGTAGTAATCTCGCGGAAGGAGGCGGCGGAGAGGGCCCGGGAGGACGACCTCCACTCGGACCCGATCCGCCGCCGGCGAACCGGGCGGCGGAGGCCCGGCTATCACAGCCTCATGCCGCCCTGAGTGTGGCCGCGGGTGGACGGGGTGGGTTTCCCCTCCACCCGCATTAGTTGGCCAGCCGCGAGGGGGCGGCGTCCGCGTGTGCCGGACGTCGCCTAAAGAGAGGAACATCCACATTGAGACGGAGCCCGCACCAGGAGCGGGCTGGCGCTAGGAGGGGTCCGGATGTCTTAACAGCAGCTGTTCCCGGATCCCTCCTGTTACAGGCGCAGAGTGGCACACCGTGTGGTTTTAGTCGGTCCGATTCCGACACACCACCCCGCCGCAAACCCCGGAGGGGTGACGGTCCGAGGGGATTTCCACACGTTAAAAAAAAAAAAAAAGGTATAAACACACGTGGTCACGCTATGCCACATTTTCATTTTGACAGCAATTTGACATTAGAACATTACTATAATCGGTAGCCATTGTGGTAATTTTCTGTGTAGAAAAGGTACCGTTATAAGCGTAAAAAATTATGCCGCCCGTAAAAATACGTAACGACGCGATGTACAAAGAGAGATACCTATTTCTGTGGTAGGGATGGTTAAAATCGCAATCACGTGTGATATATCATATGATTTATAAATCATATCATCACACCCGCGACTGATATACAAAACCACTACGACTTAAGTATTTAGCAAGTTTCGCGAAAGGTCTAAATCTAAAAAAAGTCTTATTTGATTGAGTTTTGATTGATTTTAATGCCATTTATCTTTGTCGATTTCACATGTGGATGTGAAAAATCACATTCACCTGTGAAATCACTGAGACTATAACTAATCATTTCTTCAAACGAATATGATTGAAAGTCGCAATCATTTCCATGTCTATTTCATGGATTCACCATAATTTTAACCATATTTTCAAGAGAACACACTCGTGTCGGTTTTAAAAAAAAAATCATATGTAAGGGGTTTTATTACATCTGATTTTTTTTAAATATTTTTATTGAACAATAAACTTATCGCAACTAATCCGTAAATTGCAAATTACTAAAATT